GGTGTGCTAGCCGTCGGTGGAGGTTCTTTCGGGTGAAAAGGGCACAATGCCCGCACGAGCCGGGGTTGTCGATAGCCTCCTGGGCGTGTTCCAGCCCGAGGCAGGACGAGCAGACCTGGTGTGAGTCTGTGCCTGCTATCTTCAACCCGCAGCCGCATGACCGAGCCTCCGAGTCCCTGACTCCTCTGGTGTGAGGGGGAGAGGCGTCCATCTTGTTCGCCTCGTGGCGTGGAGAGGACCCGCTCGTAACAGGTACGTTGTTGAGAGAAAAAGTGTTACTAACCCGTCCTTAATCCGGAGAAAAAGGGACGGTGTGGGTCCTTTGTTCTCAAAGAATATTGACTGGTGTGTCAATATACTTCTAATCCTTTTCTCCTCCGTGAGAGAGAAAAAGAAAAGCGTCCTCGCCACCATGGTGTCGGTAGTAAGGGGAAGCTAGCTAGCAACAGGTGCGTAGCTAGCTTGAGTTAAATAAAAACCTTACCTTACTTTCCGGGGAAAGAAACGGCGAGGTCGATTTTAATACTAACTGGCGTTAGTATTACCGTCTTCTTGCGAAGCAGAAGGAGTAGCCGGCGAGCGCCCGTCGACCGAAATGGTTATATTTGGGTTCAGTCTGTGGACCGTTAAGCTTGTCCGGCTACGATAGAGATGTGCTCTGAAGCGAGAAGAGGTGTTTGAATGATGCATGCGTCGTGGCGCAAGCTACTTATAGGGGGTGAATTCCCTGACGTTGACGTCAAGATCACCAGCCAATCAGGATTGGCGTAATGAGAATGATGCTTCTGTTTGCTCCGCGATGAGGCGCATCCCATAGTGAGACATCGAACGGAGTGTTATGAATGAGAACTACGGGGCGGTCGAGGAAAAAAAATACACATGCGTTAATCGCGTTAAAATAATTAGTGGCGTTAATTTTTTTTTGCGTTAACGCGTTATTAACGCGTTAACTTGACAGCCCTCATTTATACATGTTCAAGCTACAGTCTACTGTATATGACAATGTTAATAAACAAATAGGGTAGACCTCTGTTGTTTCTCATCAAAAATATGTTCCTAGTATCTAGTGCAGGGGTGTCTACGGAGTACGGAGCCCCCTAGGGGACATGGAGAAGAAAAAAAATAATAATTTGAACAGAAAAAAAAAAAAAAAGTTTTGCGAGATATCGCAAAACCTTTGCGAGATCTCGCAATACTTTTCATTTAGTACTTCCTGGTCAGTTCGGCTGCTACGGCAACACAGAAACCACAACAATAGAGTGGTTCATCGATTTTACTTTGAGCTTGGCCTTAAATATAAAGATATAACATCAGTGCTTGACAATAGGCACGGGTTTCACACATAGACTGTAAATATAAAGGGTTTCACATAAGTGAAGACACCTCAAGAAAACACTCAGAGCGAGGGGACATGCACGTTCCTCTGAGCTGAGTTATTGACAGATTCGAATTTCGCGGATCAATAACTCATGAACATAACGTTGTAAAAATACAAACAACATGACTTTACAATCATAGCAAGGTAGACAACGAGCTACAGAGTCGTTTTTATCAGAACAGTTCGATACGCGCCGTCATCCGAGCTAAACATCAATAATTTGTCACAATCCGCAGCTGGAGGAGGGAGAGGAGTGCTTAGGGACCGTCTACAAACTGCAACAGGGTTTTGCGAGATCTCGCAAAAGTATTGCGAGATCTCGCAAAGGGGTTTTGCGATATCTCGCAAAGGTTTTGCGATATCTCGCAAAAGTATTGCGAGATCTCGCAAAGGTTTTGCGATATCTCGCAAAACATTTTATTTTTATTCAAATACATTTTGTTTTCTTCTCCATGTCCCCTAGGGGGCTCCGTGTGTCCAATTTACGGCCCTGGGGCCAAATGCGGCCCACGGACCAACTTGTGCTTGTCTTATATTGTACTTCTTTAATATATTAAACAGTATTATTCACATGTTAATAAGACCACTTTTCAAATAAATTCAGTCAATTATTTACATAACAAGCTTGTAATAGACCCTTCCTATATCTCCTTATTATAATCAATCTGAGGCTTCCGTTTTAAGGGATGGGCTGCCAACACTCAAAAGCATAATTTACCTACATTTGATTGATTTTGCTTACTTATAACTGAACTTATGAGGCAATACACCTCTAGTGAGTGGCCCAGCCCTTCGTATATTTTTCTGTATTTGGCCCTCGGTGAAAAAAGTTTGGACACCCCTTATCTAGTGTATATAAATGTATATTTCATTGTATTTTCACTAATACACATACTTACTACACACTCAAAACTGAAAACTGCTACACAGATCTTCTTGTACTGGAACTTTCCAATGCAACATCTTTCACTGGTATGTTCTTACTGTGAGACATCACTCTTTGAGTTGCTATCGACAATGTATGCTTTCTGGTAGTACTCTTTCTCAGTAACTAAGAACTAGTCCAGTTCAGTGTTTTGTTCAAATGATGTAGTTGTTTGTTTGGTGGGTCTGACTCACATTGACAGTGTCATATCCAAAGGTACCATAGAGGCTTCCGGCTCCGTAGGGCAGGTAGAAGGTGTGTCCATTGGCAGAGTAGGTAGAGGACTGCTGGGGGTTGAACTTTGTGTGTGTGCGTCTGTGAATGACATAGTTTAGGATTATCTCTGGAGGCATGTCAACAAACATGCCATCATGCCTCTTTTGACACTAATAAGTCAATTTACACAGTTGCTGATGCTTCCTTAAAGACTGAAAGTTATTAGTGGCATGGCTGCAAGTACACTCAAACTCTAAATCCCATGATGGCCTATTTCAGCTTTATGTCTACATGCTAAATATGTGTTGAAGTGTGTGACAGATGAGGGATTTATTCATGTCAGCCTGTTGGTTTATACTCACTGCAGGCCTGAGTGCTACAGTAGATGGCGTCCACCCACAGGTTGGCAGAGCCGGTGTCAAAGAGCACTTGGAAGGACTGGGGGGGTGTTCCAATACTGATGGCGCCATAATAGGAGGTCTGGGCATCACATTGGTTGGAGATAAAGAAAAAGAGGAACATAATAAAATAAAATGCAAACCCATCAGTCAGGGCTGTGTGTAAAATCGCGTTAAGCTAGGATTTCTTACATCAGCGAAGTTATTGATAGACATGTTGGCAGAGCTGGAAAACTCATCAGGCTGGTACTTGAGAGCCGGATCCTGGTAAGGCAGCTTAATCCCCTTCTCTCTCAGGGCCTCGCACATAGACTTGTGCTTATGCAGAGGGATCCTAAGGAAGAAGGAAGCATAAACATGAAGACGTTTAACCTGATATAACTATCCTTAGCAATTTTAGCGGTTGATCTTCAAAGTAATTTGCTCTCTCATAAAAATAAAATAGTTTATTTTACGAAACAGGCGCAGGATATACAGTAGAGATAATTTCCTTACCTGACGATTCCCTCCACAAGTGCCACACAGACCAAAACAGCATGATGCCTCCTGTCCACACAGCACTCCTGAATGGATACCAATCTGAGTCTTAACAGGCTTTATATACACATGTTTGGGCCCATATCAGCTAGACTGTTATCAAAACTTCAGTCATATCAGTTCCGACAGGGTGACGACCCTTACAGGTTTTTTCTAAAAGCTACACACTTCATTTGCACAACATTAATTCAATAAACACTAACTCAAATTAAAGCCTTTGGGTAACCATTGGAATAATGCACTGGTGACAAAGCTTTCAACGCACGCCGCTGTGTGGACGGGCCGTATAATTTGACACTTTTCATTGAGTAATTACTTAACTTTTATTCAATGTAATGAAGAGGTATGACAAATGTGTCTATTTTCTGTCTTTCAAGAAGATGATGCTGAGTTCTTAGCGCTTACGCTGAGTTATTTATACCTTTTTGCAGAATTAAAACAAATCTGTCTATAAAATATAATTATCAACAGCAAGGTCAAGTTTAATAGTTTGTGTGGAACTGTAACTTTCTGCAAATGGAAAATTAATGTTATATCAGACTATCAGTAGCACCTTAACCACACAGTTTAATCACAAGCTCTTGTGTTGTTCAGCATATCATAACTTTTAATAGTGTTTGGATTTGATAGCTTTATTCCTTTGAAAAGCTTAAGGACATTCAATGAAAAATACAACTTTTGTATGCTTGTTAATTTATTGTATTCTTTGTGCTTGGACTGGCCTATAGTCATAATAACATCTCCCCTAAGATTGGCTTTTACTTCCCCTGTATTTGCTGCCAATAGCACCTTGTTTGATATCAAAGCAGACCAGTAGCATGGGGGAACTCTGATTACAGTGCCTTTTAATGACCCCATTTGTTATGCAATTAGATTAGATCAGCCCATTTTCTCCATGGGACAGATGACATTGTGTACACAGGACCCTATGTGGCGGTTTGATGTAAGCTTGCATCCATATGTAATAGGTGGAGTGCCCCTTTCCTATTGGGAAAGCTGCAATGCAGCATTTCCTTCAACCCATAGCAATCTAAGAGCTGTAGAACTGAGAGCCTGCTGAAACTAATGGGGCAAAGATGAGCAGAGCCTAATCAAGAAAAGTTGCAATGCCACAGTTCATTACAGATACATACACTTCCCTGCTGGCATGCTGTTGCTGTGTATAGAAGTTTAGAAACTCTGGTGTAAGAGGCAATTGCCAATAATTCACTTTCAACTGTTATATCATCCACCATTTACATGATGAAATTCAGTCAACCTTATTTGAAATATTGCTATTAACTTGCAGCACTGTGTGAGAGTTATCCCATCGTGTAAGTGGAATGAATAAGAAGACAGAGGAGGTGGGTGTGTATCTGTCCAGTATATGTGACAGAGGCCCATATAGACAGTGACAGGCAATGAGTTACAGCAGCTCTCAGTGTGTGGGCATAAATCAATGAGATATTCCCCTCTGGAGCGCTAAGTAATGAAACAGGCACATTGCAGGTATAGGAATTGTTCCTCACAACATGTATTGAATATACTGTCTCTCTTGTGTTTCCAGACCATCCCACGACATCAGCCTGGAGGAGTTTGATGATGAAGATCTCTCAGAAATCACAGATGACTGTGGGATTGGACTCAACTATGACTCTGATCCTTATGAGAAGGTGGGGCCCCTTCTCTGTGCTTATGTTGTTTTCTTTTATAGAAATGTGACCTTTTATAGCACATGTTGTGCTTTGTGTCTCGACAATGTGAAAGCATAAACTAAACAAGTTATTTCACTGTTTGCAAACTTTAGATATTCATTATTGTGTGTATTTTAAGTGATATTTATTATTTTTTCCTACCAGATTTGTTAAGGTTTTAAGACTCTTCTACCGTTGCCTTGGAAAAATTCACATTATAGTTCATTAATGCAACCTGCATGTATTACTGGCAGAAAAAATGAAAATATTTAGCTTCAGGGGAGCTTTAGTGAAATGTAGCTAAGAAATGTGACATTAAGAGGACAGAAAACAAAGCTGACTTGGTTTGCATAGCTTTTTTGTGTATGCTTATTTTCAAAGGTTATCTTATATAAGCATCTCTGTAGCTCTTTTCATCCAAGCTACCAGTATTGCAGTTAACACAGTAATGGCCATAAGCCTCAGATATTCATATTTGTTTTAAACCAGGACAAAATTAATACATTTCCTGGCTATGATGAACATAATTCTCCATGTACTCTGATTATCATAATCATAGTAAATCTGAGCAAACAGCATGTATTCACTAAACTCCTTGGCTTCTCTACTTGGCATGTTATAGACATTCTAGTACTTCCACTAAACCTCCTATTCAAGTGACTGTTATGAAGTATATGCAAATAATTGAGTCATTAGCTGAATCATCCCACATGTCTGACCAGCTCAGACCTTAATTACTGAATTTCTAAGAACTATTATCTCATATCCTCTCTCTTTTTCTGTATTTCTCGTGTCTCCATCCTGTGGGATGTAAATGTTTAATGCTGGTGGCGTGGAGCCATGGCTGCAGCAGAGGGTGGGTGACCCAATGCAGTTTGCTGCTATGCAGAGACAACCTCCCTCCCTTACTCCCTCCCACCCTCCCATGTGTCTTCCCTTCCCTCCCTTCCTCCTATGCAGAGTGTTGCTCAGAGACAGAGCTCAGATTCCCTCCCCCTTGTTCTGCTACCACCTATCCACTCCCTTTCCCCCTTAAAGCTTTGCTTCCTTCACTTTCTCCCTCTCTCTCTATTTCTGCGAGGTGAACGGGGATTTAGCTCAGAAATAGTTGGTTCTGAGGGTTAAGCTCTGTGTATAAATCTGTGCTAGATATTTAGCATCCTCAACTGTAATCCACCAACAAAACACATTATGGGTGGCTAGCCAAAGCCCTTCTGTAAAAAGACATGTCTGCATAGCCCTCCAGAAAAAGAGATCATTTAGAGGGTAGATGTTTTGGAGAGGTCAAACCATAGTAAACCATGCATCAGTGCCCTCTTCCACCTCTCACACACATCAGCAGAGGCCATGACTGCTCTCTTCCCAAACAAGAAAGCGCAGGGCAGAGAGCGGCGGGCCTTGTTACATTACATCATTGCCAAGAGGAAGTGATCTTGCTGACATGGGATGGATAGGACAGACTCCCAGTTGCCCTCTGTGTGTTTGCGTGCACATTTAAATAACAGAGAATGAAAAGCGAGACAGAGAATGTTGTGCACGGGGTGTTTCACATGGTATTTGATTTTGCTTGCATCAGTAGGATGGGTGACACCCTGTCAGCTCATCAGCAGCAGCAGTCCTTCCCTCTTGCGTCGCACCCTGCTGATGAGGAGAGAGGCTGCTGGTTTTTATATCAGATAGGATTCAGCCATATCAGGCAGTATGTTTTTGATATTAAGGACAGCCAAACTAAACAGTGAGATTATCCTCCGCCCTCAATCCTCGGCTCTGATTAATTCCAATTTGTTATGGGGTTCAAGTCTTAATCTGCATAACCCTTTAGATCAGTACTTAGCCCAGTGTTTCCCCTATATACAAATAGTGGCGGCGCAGCGCCGCTGCTGAAATATGCGCGCCGCTACTAGGGGGCCCCAGCCAGGTACCCACATTTTTTTACAAATATTTGTTTTACTTTATTTTTATTTATTAAAATAATAATAAGTGGCGACCCTTTTTCATTTTTGATTGTTTGTTATGTGGATTTGTAGTATTTGTGTTACTGTATGTTCAATAAGGTGTAATTTTGCTAAATCTTGAGACATTGCCACTGTATGTACTAGGCAGGGCCGATTTTTGGCATAGGCGATAGGCTGGTCGCCTAGGGCGCCAGATCTGGGGGGCCCTGCGCTGGTAGCTCTGGGAGGGGAAAAAACATTTTTGACCGTTGGCGCTCATCCTAATTTTCGGCCTTGATGTAACAACGTTCATAATTAAGTAAATGTAACACCCTTTTCACCCCGGTTACACTTTTAATTTGCCCTGTACGATGTGGTGAAAGTGGAGGATGTTGGCTTATCAGGCGCCCGCAGCTCACAGCCAAAGTGCAAGCGTGGGAGCGAGAAAGCGAGCGAGGGAGAGAGAGAGAGAGGGTGCACCGGTACCGGCGCTGTTGTTATTAGAATCTGGTGCTAGCTGCGCTAACGGATATAAGAAGCAGATGTTTCTACAACCAGGGTGGAGGAGAGCTCTCCTGTCAGACTGAGAGGCTCAGTGAGGTAAAGTACTCTCTGAGTGTTTAGAAAAAGTTAATTTTAGTCATCTCAGTGGGTCTCAAACGTTTTGACCACATATTATGTAAACACATATTTCCAAGGCACTCCTTTATAATTATTAGGATAAATAAAAACAGGTTTGAAATCATTCCAATGTATACTACGGACAATAATCAAAAATATCGTTTAAAGTTGGAGAGATGCATACAAAAATATGCATAAATAAATAAATGTTAACTGGTCAAATAAGATATGAATAAACAACAAAAATAAAATAAGTTACATTTATTTGTTATTGGTTATGTTCACATACTTATTTGATTATTAAAATGTAAATCGATCTTTTTCATATGGGTGTTTAGAGTTGTACCCCCTAGATCAGGTCTCTAGTAATTGTGTGCTCAAAGTGCACCAGATTGAAGCATTTTACTTTAAAATGTTAAAAAAAATATTCCCGGGGGGGGCATACCCCCGGACTCCCCTAAAGGATGTGACGTCCACCCCCCAATTCAAACATGTTCATACAATACTGAATACATTTGAAGCCATGTTGACGTATATCACCTAAGTCAATAAGTTTCTGTTTTTGTAGTGTATTTGTCTTTTGTAGAGATTTTTAATTTATTCTTTATATATAAAATCTAGCCTAGGGCAGCAAATTGGCTAGAACCGGCCCTGGTACTAGGCCTCAAGAGCCTTTCTTGTGCTGGCAGACACATAGAAACAAATTGGCGGGGCGCACTTCGCACGTGCACACACTACAAAATTCGCTGCTATTGATTGATTGATTGATTGAAAAGTTTATTAACAGCTTGTATATTGGGTACAGTACAGTACAGCTCAAAACATACAATTGTTAAGGGGATGCAGACCAGAGAAAGACTTTCGTCTTGTTTACATTAGGGTCCCCCATTTCCAATTCATCATATCATTTAAGACATATAAGACATATTTGACATACAGATGACTCCATCCTAGGGGAAACACTGCTTAGCCTTTGTGATGGACACACACAAATGCATGTGAACAAAAACAAATAGACACACACTATGCCTGACAATAGGCACATTCACACCGCAGTACTTTTCCCACAAAGGTTCATGAGAATTTAGTTCATGAGAACTCTTTTCTCGCGTTCACACCAAAAAGAGCCGGTACTAAAATTAGTTCATGAGAACCTTTTTACCCCCCGGCTCTCTTGTGAGAAAAGAGCTATATTTCTGATTGGCTGGGCGGATTGCAAACCACGCCCCGTAAAACTCCCAAAAAGTTTTGTGAAGCCGCCATTTTATTATCCTCGCATTAGCATTATTAGCATTAGCATTAGCCCAGCGCAGAAACGCAGAGAGACTAACTTATGGCAACACAAAATAAAACATGGGAGCGGTGGAGATGAGGAGGTGTCGGCGTTCTGGCGATTTACTCGGAAGGCTTCAGTAGAAGTTGCTGGGAGTCCCAGCAGCTTCTACTGAAGCCAGTCCCTAACTCCGGGGACTTCCGGCCGGGGACTCCGGGTGGCAGTATACGCCGTGAAGTGGTTTGCGGCCTGCCAGTAAACCCAAAGCAGAAGAAGAAGTGACGTCAGCGGCTTCATTTGCCTAATCCACCCCCAGGGACTTATTCCGGTGTGAACGCGATCTGTACTTAGTTCATGAGAACTAAAGAGTTCTCATGAACTAAGTTCTCATGAACCTTTGTGGGAAAAGTACTGCGGTGTGAATGCGCCTAATGTCATCCTGAGCTGAAGGCAGGCAATTAAGGATCGTTCACATTGGTTTGTTATGAAATTCATATTTTTTGATCTGGTAACTGCTGGCCAAATGCCAAAATGTCATAGCATATCTGGCCCAGGCTGTCCTTTCCTACTATCCATGATGTCAGAGGGGATTAGGTTTGACAATGGGTTTTCAACCATGTGATTTGTTTTTGTTTTTAACTCAGCATATCAACATAACAGGACCACAATGGAGGCAACCTTTTTTGTGTCTCTGAATCTCCCTTACAAACACAAATCTCCCTTATAAACACAAAAACGCCCTGCTGCTTTCTTCCACGTCTCGCTCAGGATTGTTCACATCCTGTCTCTCAAGCATCCATCTCTGTCTCACCAGAGCATGGATTGAACACCATGAACATATGCATAATTCAGTATGTGACAGAGAAATGGGGTATGATTCCCAGCTGTGGTGCTAGTTTGAAATGTGGACATTTCAATGATAGATGAAGGGCCATCACTCAGCTAGGTGGTCTCTTTAAATGGGAGGCTAATAGGCATCTGTCCTACACTCCGGCATTAAATTCAACTAGATTACAAGCTACATTTGGAAAACGGTCTTTATGAGGGATCAAATGCACCCACATTTCAAAATAAAACAGAAGCCAGGATCATGATAACACAACACCTAACTTACCAGCAGAAGAGCTTGTTTGCACGGGTTCAATCACAGCGCTGGATGGGATGTCCTTGGGGACTGGAGACCTTGAGGATTGATTCTCGCCAACACACAACTCTTATTTATACATCTCTCTTTTTCTTAAAGTCTCCCTGCCTGTCTGTCAGTTGCCCGGGCTAAAAAATGACTCTTGACAGTACAGATTTTTCTCCGAGGCAAATGTGGCACTTTCACAACCTTGCTGATGGATCTCTGGATTTTTACACTGACATAGAGTTATAGGTCACATATCCCCAGTGATGTTTTATAATGGGTCAGTGTGAGGAGACAGCATTGTGAAACTTGACAGTAGTACATTATGAAGTGAGATGATATAATGATCGATTGAAAGGTTTCTTAGCACACACAAAATTCCTTTCAAAACTTTGTTTCACATTAACAGCTAAATGACAGACAAAATATCTATGTTAATGAGTTCTATTTATGAATATTCATGTGGACTCTGTCAGCAAAAGACTGTGTGTTGATTTTTGTTGCTGTGGCATAAAGTGGATGCACCAGTCGTCAGCATAATGTTGTTGGATGGGTGAAAGGGTGAGCTTTGATTCCTCCATTAAAGAGACTGCACTGAAAGGCATAGAAACTGCTGCGCTGTTCAAACTGCAAACCAGATAAATCAATCCTTGTGTTAGCATTGTCAAAGTAGGGAAGAGATGATCAGAAAAAGTAGTATCGTGCACTCTGCATCTGGTAACGAAGATGTAGCAGCTTATTGTAATATCAGCATAAGCAAGGTTTCCTGCTCAATGTTTGAGGCTCATCAGGGAGAGATAACGTTAAATGAGTGAAGCATGGGTCAATATGAACATGTCACTACCCCGCAGTTATCTATATTATCTCCATAAACATCAAATCAGCTTAAACTCTTAAAATGGCACATATTGGAATCATATTACATTTAGGTAAGAAACAAATATTTTAATTGTATCAGCGATCTTTATTAAATGAAAAACGTTTATAAACACAGTTCACCTGCAAAAATCAGTGAGGATATTTATGATTACCCCGGTAATGGTTATTTGTCACAGTAACTTTCTTGAGTCTTCTTTTTTAACAATCCGTAATAATATATCATCCCTTGGTGAGAGATTATACAATTCCACAAAGCAGCTATTTGATCAATGTTGCCTTGTGACAGACATTGAAATTACCTATTCTTCCACAACTAGCCAACATTGGGAGATGTGTGTCAATTATCTACTTAATTGAAATTGCACCCTCATTAAACCTTGTATCTGGCAAATATAACACTTATATGCTTATGGAGGTGTGGTCTTTTGAACCTTAACATCATTTAGTGCACTCCTTTCCGGTAAACTTGCTGAAACCTGAGAGATGTCTGATTGATCCACTCTCGTTTCCTTGCCTCTCCTATGTTTGCGTTCGTCTTTCACACATTATCTCTCCTTCCTTTGTCTTCAAAACAGTCCATCCTCAAGACTGCTGTTCTGCTTTTGCAGGGTTTTTGCAGAGTGACTTTATATTTAGTGACTTAATTGGTTCAACCTTTTCACCTTTTTCTTTTAATGGGGAGGTGTTTATGTTGTTGATGCTGAAGGCTGCACCTACCTGCTCTTTCTTATGTATACAAACACACACATACACTCAAAATATATTCATGTGTGCTTATGATGAACAAAACACTCAAGGCTGCAAGAAAAAATCCTATCAGCAAAATGTACTGTGGCTGTTCATGTGTGCAGAGTTGCCAACTACAGTGCTTTTATGTGTGTGTCTGTGTTTTACAAAGGCCCTCTGTGTAATCACAGTACATTGTGTCGCATGCCGTCCATCTGTGCTCTCCTTGTTGCATTCATCTCTTGGACAGGCCTGTTCTTGGCAAAGCTTTTAAAGGAAAAAGGATGTAATATTATGCAGTGGATAGAAGGTAGCAGCTTTTTCCTTTCATTTGTGTTAGTTCACTACATAATAGTTTCCCTTCATGCTTTCAGAGCAGGAAATGCTTTAATTTGTCTATATGAAATATAATTCAAAGTGTGAAAACATACAAATCCCCCTTCTCCTTTCTGGCTTTAGGACTCCCTTATACTGGAGAAGAGTGACATGCACCACGCAGTCTGCTCCTTCCAGGATGACTTCCAGGAGTTTGAGATGATTGACGACGAAGATGAGGATGATGAGGATGATGAAGACGACGAAGATGAAGAGATTGACCCTGATGCACCCCCGTCCCCCTCTGCCTCGCCTCCTCTCTCTCCTTCTCTTGGCACACTTAAGAGCAGACCGACCACACTGAACCTCACCACTGCTGTGTCACAGGTTAGCAGCCTGAAGCTCTGGTCCCAACAAACACTAATATCGATTATGCACAATTCTTACTCGTTGTCATAGTACTGTTCAACATTGTTCAGTATCTCCTTTGCTCTCTTTTCATTAGGATTCATTGAACAACAACAGCAGTCTGTCGCCCAAAAAAGGAAGCTGGCAAGACTCTTTACGGAAGACCTCACAGGGTAAATAAATGACAAATTATCTGTGGTACATAAATAGCCTGCATCAAAGCTTAAAGGTGGGGTAGGTAATTTTGGAGAAACCAGCTCGGGTGCGCTAGAATTTGAAAATACACAGCCGGAAAATATCTGCCTCCTTACAGATCCCCTCCTCCAACACACACGAACGCGCACATGACCAATGAGGGCACGAGATAAGTTTGTGCACAGATGGAAGGCTGACAGGCAGGTACTGTAGGCCATCCAGTTATTTTAGCCGGGCCGGCTAAAATGATTGGTCGTGCTTTTTACATTACTACAGCTTCCACAGATGAACTTTTTTTATGGATTTTTGGTCAAAGCACTTAAGATATTCATTGCTATCGGGATGTTAAGAGCATTCCATGGAATATAACAAAAAGTGTATCTCGAGCCGGTTTCTCAAACTTACCTACCCCACCTTTAACTTAAATTATTTTCTACAATATGTAGAATATTAACATATAATACAGTATAATACAACACAATAACATATCCCTAAATTCAACAGAATGTAATTAAGTTGTTTTTTTTAAATAAAAATGGCTTTGATTGGCTCAAGTGTGGTAATTTGAAGGTACTTTAAACATAAACATAAACATAACTTACCAGATAAATCAATGCTGCATGTTCAAAATAAGCTCCTTTACACATTGCAGGTATAACTTTCAAAATAAATATCTTCTATCCCTCCAGGTCGTCTGTCTCCAACCCACACATGTCTGGAGGATGGTGTCCCTGTGACAGGCCAGTGCCCAGCCTCTCCAGTTACCCAGGCACCAGGGTCTCAAACCAAAGGTACTCCCCAAAAACAGACTGGGGAGGGCGGGAACCCCCAATCCCCTCACAGGCCCCTCCTCTGCGACATGGAGGGCAACAGGCGGGAGAGGCCCGAATACGGTAACAAAAAGGCCAACCCCAAAAGCAGATAATTCCATAGTCATCAGTGTCGTGTGGTGCCGTGATGTGAAATGGAGTGACGTGAAGTGAATTTGACTTGTTCACCAGTACAGTATGTTTTAACACTCTCATGGTGATTCTTACAGTCCCATTTGCACATGTCCACTTTAGGGAGTTACATGAGTATGCTTCTAGTGAAGAGATGGCTGAACTGACTCATCCATCACCCTCTTGTTTTTAAATGTAAAACATGTCATTTCATTCATTATTACAATTATGTCCAAATTGCCTTTTCCCCACAACCCTTATGATATGTCTCCTTTCTGTGTTTGCATATTTCTCATCATCTTCTTCATTCCTTTGTCATGCATTATTTTCATTTTCTTATGGCCCTTCTTGTTTTTCTGCCCCTTTTTATCTCTGTAGGCTCATTTGGTCAACACAAGTCCCACCCTTGTTCTGGTGATCTCACTGAGCAAAAGGCAGATCCATTAATCCAGAAGACCAGAGTACCTTCTGTAGATGAACAATCCCAGTGTTCAGACACAGAGGTGGACCATGACCTCAACAGCGACCACAACCACAAACACTCAAACCGGCGTGCCACAGACACTTACACAATCACCAGTGAGTCAGGTTTGGAGCCAGAGAACGACTTAGACCTGGATGGGACCAGTCACTGCTTGTCATCCACTGCCCCCATTGGAGTCAATGACGGTGCAGATACACCGCTGTCTGATGAGGAGCTGGAGAAGGACTATGATGTGGAATTTATGTGTAAGGAGACCTACGATATGGTGTGTAAGGAGAGTCGATGTTCATATGTAGAATTCCCCTCAATTGAACCCACCTCCTTCTCTAGCTATGTGTCCACCAGTCGTTCAGATGCAGGAGTTTCTGCCATGGAGGCAGCAGGTAACGACTCCACCTCTCCATCGTCAGACCCAGGGATAGCAGATATGAACCAGCAGGGTTACATGACTTCAGACCAGGATAAGGACCTAAGCTCTCCTGGCTCTGACTCTGACATTGAAGGGGAGCTGGAGGCAGCGTTTACCTGTGGAGCTGTGGTCTCCAACATGATCTCCTCTATCTCTGAGACCGAGCTGGACCTGACAAGTGATGAGAGCAGCAGTGGGCGCTCGTCCCACCTCACCAACTCCATTGAGGAGGCCAGCTCGCCTACATCAGACCAGGAACTGGACCTGGAGACAGAGTTAGAGCAGGACAGTGACATTGTGGGACTTAAAACGTCTCTACTTCTTGGCCAGCCTGACCCAATCAAAGAAGGGTCTATTCTTCCCTCTCCTTCGCCTCTACCCTCACCATACCCTCTGGACTCACCCATCTTACCTCCTGAGCCCTACGAGGAGGAGCCCCTGCAGAATGTGGATGATGAGCTGTCTTTTGAGCACCAGGCGGACCCAGATGAGACTCTGCCTCCAGCCCAACAATGTGAAGACAGTCTGTCCAGACAGATGGTACTGCAGATAGAACCAGACCACAGTCTAGAGAGCTTCAAACGCTCCTTCTACCTGCCAGTTGGACCAAGGCTTATGCCCAATGCAGATGAATATGATGGAACCAGTGAAGGCGAGTCTGACTCAGAGAGTGAAGACGAACTGAGCGAGAACTCAGACTCACCGTGGCTGCTCTGCAACTTGGTCAACAGGATGATCTCAGAGGGCTCGTATCCCATCAGTTGTCCTGAGGACTGCTTCAAGAGGAAGTTGTCTGTGTCCGACACCATCTCACCATCCTCAGACATTGGAGAGGGAGATGGTTTCAATGATGAGGACCAAGAGAAGAAGGCAGAGATGGATGAATTAGATGAAGAAGAGAAGGAAGCTAAAGGGTACGATATGATGGAGCCTGGAGAGAGGAGGAAGAGTGTGGAGGGGTGTGAACACAACGGGAGGGGAATCACAGATTTAAACACCTTGTATGCAACGCAAGACTCTGAGAAGAACTTCACAGACAAACCATCTAAGAACACTAGAAGACAGGAGGAGGATCAAGAGCCCAATAATGACTTGATGATGCACGAGGGAAGGAAGGAACTGGACTCTCCGAGCCTCAGTGAGAGCGTGGTGAGCGACAAAGACGAAGGGCGAGAGACTGAGCCCAGGCCAACGAGCCGCTCCTCAGCCTCTCTTGAGCGTATCACCGAGGTTAAACACAGCCTGACACTAGACATACCGACCACCCAGACCAACCGCTGCTTCAGCCTCTCTTACTCTACAGACAATGAAGAAGAGGAGGACGATGGAGACTCATACCCTTTAATGGGTGACATGAGGAAGCAGTCCTACAGGGAGAGTGACTTAGAGCTCGACAGTTCACCACCAATTGATTCCAGTGTACAAAATCATCCCTTATCTGACCGAGACCTCCCACTGTGCAAGACAAATCTGTCTCTGAGGCAGTCAAACGAAGAGGATGAACTGGCCTATGACTCCATGAAGTACACACTAGTGGTGGATGAGAATACTACGCTGGAACTAGTTAAACTCAGAAGGTATGATCTGATGGTGTGTTGAATGTATGAAATCTAAGAAAGAAATTGTATGTGTGTGTCTTTGTTTCAATTGAGCGGAACACATTTAATATGATTTGCTTTATTCTACTACAAGAAGTAATAATATAACATTGTTTCTAAATGTTTTGATCAAACTCTACTTTATGTCTGGTGGTGAATCAAGCAGTTTAAAGCATTTGTGGATGTCTAACCCTAAATTGATATTTGAAACGGACACATGTTGTCCTCTCAGGTGCACATCCGTTCTGAGCGATGAAAGTGAGCTGTCCACGCTATGTGATGAAGACCATGTGGAGACAGGGCAGGTGAGCTACGGTCGCGATAATGAAAAAGTGAGGCCAGAATTTCTCAGTTCTTCTGAGGACTCTTCACCTGAAGCTGATCTCCCATTCTCCAAGAAGTTCCTCAATGTGTTTGTCAACAGCACCTCCCGCTCCTCCAGTAAGTCCCACACCCTTCTGGAAAACACCCAGATATGTTTTTGCAATCAAAGTGTCAATTTTAGGATTAAAGGAACGGTTTGACATTGTGAATTTACACACATTTTCTTTCTTCCTGATAAATCAATACAACTGTATTGGTCAATAAACTTTAAAAGTACAGTCAGGGAATAGTAAGCTTAGCTTAGCATCAAGTATTACATTATTCCAAAAGTCTCTAAAGCTTAACACATTATATATTAATTATATTATTCAATTAAACCCAACCTGTCATAAGTGCTGTGCTGGTAGCGGCATTTTCCAAAATATGGAAGTATTCCTTTAAATTAAGCCAACATGTAGCCAATTATACAGCCTACAGGTTATAGCCCAGCAACATTATTGGTAAACATTTCCCCTCAGGGTCCTTACCATGATACACTACATTTAGGTTTAACACATTGCTGTCAGAATGATACAGTAGCATGTGATCTAAATTTGAGAGGGAGACCACACAAGCGCACAATGGGAGGGCTCTGCTGCTTCCCAGTACATCCCTCATCAATCAGTACTCTAGCATCAAGATTTATATCCCTAATGAAGAGTGATTTGCATAATGAAAGGCTCATTACAAATGCTTTCTTTTCCATTTATTTTTTGACAAATCTAATAACAAATCTAACTTCCTTGCAAAAAGTTAACTTGAGAGTATAGCACCAACAAATAACTACAACCATGGAATAATGTATTTTATTTTAGACATTTGAACAAGGTCGTTTTCAGGTCATCAAAACAGTCTTATGTGTTTCTGCTGTCTAGGCACAGAGTCTTTTGGACTTTTCTCCTGTACCATCAATGGAGAGGAGAGGGACCAGACACACAGGGCAGTCTACAGGTGAGACAATCTACAGCACACTCATTCTTGATCATGGGACAATATTTGGAGAAATGTGAATTACAGTGAAAATTAGATCTATAGATAAATATTGCAAAAGGTTGTAGAAACATAATGGTATTGTGAATGCCATTAGCTCCAAAATTGCCCTTTTCTGTCTAGAAGAAAAAGTCTAGCTAAACAAAACAATATTTCTTTAAGTTGACACTAATTATGTTAGGGAGGAGGGCAGATGTCCAACTACAGCTGGGCTCGAGAGCTGCAGGACGACCAGTAATAATCACATCAGCCACCTGTGTCTCTGCTTGTGTGTGTGCAATAGTGAGAGAGAAAGCTACAAGCACCTTACTATTATATACATTTATGTTGTGGATGTAATATTATGCATTCGCTTTGCCATTGTTCTCTTTCAGTAAGTACATCCCCTCTAACTAGAGCACTTTGACTCCTTAATATTACTATAACTCTTTTGTTTCCAACCCTGTCAGCTGTTTCCTAATTTATTTATCTCTTCTCCCCATGGGAGTCACCCAAAACCAAATCAGATGCTTCCTGATCAAATGAACTCCAGTCTAAAGGATGCCTAACAGCAGGAAACACATGCAAAGACACACTGTTTAACATTTCTCTTTTGTCCTCTGACTCTCTGCTGCTCTCTGCAGGTTCATTCCCAGACATGCAGATGAGCTGGAGCTGGATGTTGATGATCCTTTATATGTGGAGGAAGAAGAGGATGACTACTGGTACCGAGGTTATAACATGCGGACAGGGGAGAGGGGCATCTTTCCCGCCTTCTATGCCCACGAGGTCATAGGCCAATCTAAGGAGTTGTTGGGTGAGTTGAGAAATACATCACCTGTCATTTTCTGCGTCTCAGTGTGAAGGTCAGAAGAATCACATGCTCTGTATGTCTGCATTACAACCCGTAGGAATGAAAAGAAATCCTGCATGGATCGAGACTTTCAACGTTCAGTTTTTGGGGTCAGTCGAGGTACCTTATCACCAAGGCAACGGCATTCTCTGCGCTGCCATGCAGAAGGTAAGTTAAGTGGAAAACAGCAAAACACATACCCAATCACAAACAAATATGTATTCACCATTAAAGCATATTTGTATTGACACAAAGGTATTTTCTGTACATAAGATTGCGATATCGAGGAAACGGACGGTACATGTGCGGCCTCCTTCTCTGTGTGAGCTGGAGATTAGCTTGCAAGGAGTGAAACTGATCATGAGCCTGGAGGATGAATATGATGCCCTTGATGAGGTATGTACAAATAATTACAGTCATTTATAAATGACTCACATAAAGATAGATCATTTCTTTATTGTGAAATTATGTTGCATTGATGGTTATGTCTTTACACCTTTGTCTCTGCATCTCTCTCTTCCTGTAGTATGACAGATGTAGTCACTTCTTCCAGATGAAGAACATCTCATTTTGTGGATGCCATCCGAGGAACAATTGGTAAACACACACATTGGTTTTCTGTCCTCATGTCACCATTGTTTAGTGTGACTGATTTAATCATATTTGTTCTTCTCTCTGCAGTTACTTTGGCTTCATAACTAAGCACACCGATGCTGAACAGATTTGCTTGCCACGTGTTTGTATCCCAGGAGTCTATGCGACCTGTAGCAGAGTGTGTTGGGTGAGTCCAAATCACATTATCACATCACTTACCATACATCAGAATTACCAAGGCACACTAATGACTTGAAAAGCCTATAACATTAACTATTTAGCTGTAAATCATATTTGAAGTGCTCTTTGATGTTTTGCTTCTGTAGTCTGATATCAAAGTCCATGAGAGTGCATCTTTACTACCAATCACTCTCATCTGTAGCTGGATAAGTGAGCACTGATCCAGGTTTATTTTGCAGTATAGCCTTTTATGTGTGTGCATGTCTGGGAGCTTAGCCATGCCAGATTCCTACATATTGCATTTGAATAATTAAAAATACAGATTGTTTACTGTCTCAAGGTGAGGCAAGAGCAGGCAGACGTGTATGGCTGCAACTAATGAGATTCTTTTTTAGATTCATCTATTAATCTTTTGGTATATAAATGTCGGAAAATGGGGATGAAGAGTAGAATGTGTTCCTTAAAGGTGATGTCTTTTTTTGTCAGTCCAAATCCCAAATCCATTAAAGTTTATATGATATAAAACTGATAAAACGCCATATTTGAGAGACTGAAACAGCATGTCCTAGGATTTCTGCATCCATTATCAACATATTTGTTAAACATTTTCTGTTAATCAACTAATCGTTTCAGCAGAGCAGTAGGGTTGGGCTGAGCTTCACATTGTGCTTTGTCTGTGAAATAGACAAACCCTATGAAAAAAACCAGTAACACTGCTTTCAGTGAGATTGGTTCTGTGTTTGCACTAGAAGCAATCTTTACGTTGGCACCAAACAGCCATTTCTTTGTAAATAGTCAGAACATGGCTTTACAAATTCTGTTACAATATGGATCACTAAGTAAGTGTCTTCTAAATGCTGGCAGGTTGATCTTCAGTCATCTGTTTGTCTTATTATAGTATTATTAAATCTCAGTGCTGCGTTTGACACTGTTGACCACAACATATTACAAGACTGACTGGAAAACTAGATGGGACATTCGGCAACAGTTCTAAATGGGATTGAATCCTACTTAAAGGACAGAAACAACTTTGTTTCTATAGGTAAATACACATCTGAGTTGACACATATGACATGTGGGGTTCCTCAAGGCTCCATCTTGGGGCCTCTTCTCTTTAACATCTACATGCTACCACTGGCTCAGATAATGAAAAACTACAAAATAAGTTACCATAGCTATGCGGATGACACCCACATTTACATAACCATTTCACCAGGAGACTACGCTCCAATTCAAACACTGAGTAAGTGTATTGAACAAATCAATGACTGGATGTGTCAGAACTTTCTCCAATTAAACAAAGATAAAACTGAGGTAATGGTTTTTGGAGCCAAGGCAGAACGTATAAAAGTTAGCGCTGAGCTTCAGTCTGCAATGTTCAAAACAACAGATAAAGCCAGAAATCTAGGTGTAGTCATGGACTCTGAACTGAGTTTCAACAGTCACATTAAAACAGTTACTAAATCAGCCTACTATCACCTAAAGAACATATCTAGGATTAAAAGACTAATGTCACAGCAGGATTTGGAAAAACTTGTCCATGCTTTTATCCTCAGTAGACTCGACTACTGTAATGGTGTCTTCACAGGTCTCACTAAAAAATCCATTAGAAAGCTGCAGCTGATTCAGAACGCCGCTGCTCGAGTCCTTACCAACACTAAGAAAGTGGATCACATCACTCCTGTTCTGAAGTCTTTACACTGGCTTCCTGTGTGTCAAATAATTGATTTCAACATACTGCTGCTGGTTTATAAAGCATTGAATGGTTTAGGCCCAAAATACATTTCTGACCTCCTGCTAAATTATGAACCATCCAGAACTCTCAGGTCTTCAGGGACTGGTCAGCTTTCTGTCCCCAGAGTCAGAACTAAACATGGTAAAGCAGCGTTCAGTTATTATGATCCAAATATCTGGAACAAACTCCCAGAAACCTGCAGGTCCGCTGCAACTCTTACTACTTTTAAATCCAGGCTGAAGACTTTTCTTTTTGCCGCTGCTTTTAATTGATATATTCATATCTTAAACTGCACTGTAACTTTTATTATCTTTGCTTTTTATCTTTGCTTTTAAATGAGTGTTTTTAATGTCATTTTATATCATTGCTTTGAAATTAGTGTTTCTAGATATCATTTTATAATATGTTTCTAAATGCTCTTAATGTCTTTCATTTTTGTAAAGCACTTTGAATTGCCTTGTGTTGAAAGGTGCTATATAAATAAACTTGCCTTGCCATGCCTTATCCGCAGACGGGCCTTCCAGGAGTATTACCAGGAGCATCTGGAGTACGCCTGCCCCACCGAGGACATCTACCTGGAGTAGGCAGAATTGCCATGACTACTACCTTCTCTCTCTGCAGCTTGTGTATGATTATCGAGTTTGCCACCAGAGGGCGCTGTCAGTGGGGTCTTCTCTCCATTGTGTCCCTCTAAAACTGGGATCTTAATTTTTACAGTCTGCTAGGCATTTGACTGATTTCATCCCTCTCTCTTTATTTCCATTATCTCAATGGAATGATTGCCTGTTTCTTTATCTTTTTCTATGATATGAAACTAAAACGCTGAGCACTTGTTTATTTTAAGGTTCCTCTTTTGAAATGAAAACAATATACCTACTACTGCTGTTTCACCTTTCAATGCATGGCTAGTAGGATTACTGCACACAGACACACCAATAATACACATATCCAAGTGAATGGCAAGCAGCTCAACAATCAGTACGGGAATGGTGTAGAATCAAGAGGTTGGGGGTTTAATTAGCTGTAAATATGTATTTGGTTCAATATTGAGAAACTGCTCATTTGATTTTTACTGATAGTGGCATTGGAGCAAAGTAGAGAGAGTACAGTGAACCGTCCTTGGTCCAAGCTTACCCCTGTGTCTCGTTCAAGACGTAGTTTGTGTTGTAAATACGTATGTATAGAAAGTAGAAATACAGGCGTCTCATCCAGTCTAACTAACTAATCCACAAACACTCACAGCTGAGACTGATGGAGGGGATTTTGATTTGTCATGGGTATTCGGGACTCACTTTGACAGGAGTAACTGCAGGAGTGAGAGATTTTAGATTAATGACTTGTAAAACTTTGGAGATGTCATTAGCCCCTGCAAGATATTTAAGTCATCTTGGATTACGTGCAGTTAAGTCTCAGCACATTTAGGGTGACATTTTACCTTTGTCCTGTCCTCAAAGCTGCACTGGCTGACCTTTACCTTGGGAAGCTTTCACAGAAAATCATTCAACTGTTAAAACTGTTAAAAATCATACATTACTGTATGCTTTGCTATGATTGGTGTGACCTTCAGCTCAAAGAAAACTAATACCCTCTGAAAAGCCATACTCTCGCACCTCGGACTGATTAACTGTGTGGTGACACCCTAGTCTCAGTTGTATTTTAATTTGTCAGTTTCAATGAGGGGAAAGGGAAAACTGAAGCGGTAGGCCACGTTTAGTTATGAGATCCTGCAGTGTGCTTACTGTACAGTGAGAGGGTCACAATGTAAACAAACCTTTTGATAATCCATTAAAAGGGAGGTTTTATAGTTATGGTTAGACTTCGATCTTGTTTTTTCAAGTACGATTGGTAAGAGAGATGGCCACAATTATTCATTGCTCTAAGTTTGGTTCAAAGGTTGAAAGGATCATTCACACATCACACAATAACCTGCACTGGGGTTGTTGTAGCATACCATTGCTTACAGTCTAGCACCTTATATAGGGGAGGGGGTATATTTGAAAAAACAATGCACTCACTACAGGCATCTGACCATTAATTCCGACTATCCTTATTGTTCTTTCAGACACTGTTTAGCAACTTGTTCTGCTGCTTTAAGTCACAGTCCACCAGAACAAACACCTCAGTTCACTGTTGATATGGCAGGGATGGATGTGGGGTTGTTATATGTATTGCTGTCAGGTAGACTATGTATATACAATAGTGAATATAAGATAGTGCTGTGTCCTTTATGTTGAGTATGTTATGAAATTATTATGTTCATTATTCAAAAGAAATTCAAGGAAAGATCACAAGCAGACAGAAACCCCTGAAATAAAAGAAAAACACATCTGTGATCTGCAATAATTTGTTTTCATGTTTTTTCACTCGGTATCTGTCACATAGATGGAATTACGGTTCCAGAAACCTCCTTAAGTCCCTGCAGACAGGCTTTAGCAGCACATTTAGGGCACCTGTGTGAGATGTGACATCATTATTGTGTGACACTAACAGACTACTGACCAATCTGCTGTTAGAGCTGAAAAGTTTGTCATTAAGATGCCATTGAAACAACTATTATTGCATCTTGCCGATTATCACCAACTATGTGACCCATCTCTTGGTATCTATTTGCTTCTGTTTTTCTATCTCGTTACAGCCTAGTTAAAACCCCTTCTTTCCACACAGCTACATAATAACAACCTCTGAGGATGATCTCGTCCCATATAGCCGCTGAGACATACATTAACAGTTAAACCAAACTTTTGACTTTATTACAATTAACAAGATGCTTTACTGTATACCTAGAGCAAAACAGTATGTGACAGAACAAACATATCCTATCTTGTATCTTTAAAAACAAACAATTGTAGAGTTAATCAAAATTCCAGGGAAAAGCAAACAAAAAAATTACAACAAAAATCACTCTGCCTTGTCATGGGTTTGGTCTTATGAATAAAATATATGCTTGATGTCTGAAACCTTCATTCTTGTCTTTATTGTTCAGATCTCATGATTGCTTGTGTGTTTGAAATAGACTGCAAATCATTTTTTTTAAATCACATAAAATCCATGCATCAATGCTAAATGCTATGAATATCAAGAATGTTGAGGTGAAAATTAAATAATAAATCAATGATTAAAACATGTAATAAAATATCCAGGAAATGTATACACTACATTTTTAGTGCAATGTTATTTTTCAGTACACAGTCATTTAATCATATCTGTCCACAAGCATGTAGCAATGCATCATCAAATGATTACAAAATCAGCATCACATCTGGTGCTTTCACAAAGACCTCTTGAGGTCAAAATCAGTGTGTACTTCAATTTTTTCCCAAATTGTCATTATTAGCGGGATTTGTCCCATCAACACCTGCAGCAACCCGGCTTGGGACTACACCGAGGATTGCAGCAAGGCTCCAGGTCTGTGTCGACTCCTTTTGATATCTGGCTCTCTCCGAACACCATTGATGCCTGAAACTTTTCCTTGACTTGTATGATCTGCTGCAGCACGGCTTGGAGGTCAGGTTTTCCAAAAAGCTGGAGAGGGTAGTGCTCTGAGGGGTCGGCCTCCAGGTCGAAAAGGAGAGGGGGATCGTGGGCCTTGAGGACAGCAAATACTGGGCAGTCTTGATCTGGAGTAGTCCCACTGTGTGTAGCACCTGAGAACAAACATGGACAAATATGACTAATAATTTATAAATAATTCAGTTCTGACTGTGATTATGCCTCTGGACATTTCTACTTGTTTTAAAAGGCCTGCTGTACCTCGTGTATAGAAGTGGGCCTTGTACTTCCCTAGCCTGAGTGCAAACAGGCCATACATCTCACTGGGATCTGTGGGGTAGAACATCATGGTTTCCCTTTTACCCTGCAAAAGATGAGTAGATATCAAATTAAAAACATTGTTTGTGTTTACACATTATTTTATTCTATAGACTGTGAGCCATTACCTTTCCTTGGTTGATAAGGATGTCTGTCATATCGACCCCGTCCAGCATCACCTGCGGTAGCTTGGCTCCTGCCAGACCTGCGATAGTGGGGAGGATATCTAGAGTGCTGGCCATCTCATGAGTCACACCTAAAGAGAGGCATACAGGGGGAAAAGTCAGTATTCACTAAAGACCCTGACACAAGGCACACACTTCTGGCCTTCAGGAAGCGTTTGTTGCCCTGTTTTTGCAGTATGTTGCGGCTATCAGAGCGATTCCGCCTATTAAATTGGCAACAATTAGCCATAGAACAGTTGATTCTTTAATGAATTCAGTGTAAAGTGGTATGCTTTTAAATACAGTAGCTTAGTAAATGTGACTGAAATAAGCAAAAGGGGACAAGGGAATATACACCAAGTGGTTTTAGCTCTTGATGTCTAAGAAATACAGACCTGGCCTGATGGTGCCAGGCCAGAAGGCGATGGCCGGCTCCCTCATCCCCCCCTCATAAGTTGTGCCTTTTCCACACTTCAGAGGGCCAGAGCATCCTCCACCGGACATGCGCATCAGTTCAGGCCTAAAGAACAGAAATGAATAACACACCATTTGATAAAGGATACATTATCTCAAGGCATTAAATCAAAGATAAAAAAGGGCAAAGATAAAATGCAACTTCACCTTTGAACAGAGGAAAAATTTACAACTGTACCAATGCTATCAGAGTGGGAGATAAACATGTCTGCATAAGAAACTATAAAAGCAGGCGTCAAAAACCAACCCATTGTCTGAAGTGAAGAATACGAGGGTGTTGTTGATCACTCCTGTTTTCTCCAGAGTTGTCAGTAGGTTTCCTATCGTGTTGTCAAACTCAAAAAGAGAATCTCCAAATCGGCCCCTTAAAGTACGCCCGGCAGCCTCCACTCCTGCATACTGGGGGTAGTGGGTGTGCTGTGGGAGGAATTAGAAGAAAGTGTTTACCATCTGAATTGTTCTTATCTATCGACATGGGGTTACAAAAAAAATTGTTTTGTTTTGAAAACTCAAATGGACATGGACATGTTAAAATTGTTGATGCTTACATGGGACGGATAGTAGATGAAGAAAGGTTGTTTATTCTTTGCTGATGTGGCAATGAAATCGGTTGCAAAATCACTGTAAGCCCTTTCCAGTTCCAGGAAGTTGACTGGTTGCTGCTTGATGACCTCATTGTGCATTAGTGGGACGGTGACAGTACCCACATCACAGAATCCAAAACACTTAATATCTGGAGGGAAACAAGTCAGGTTCCTACAGGGACCCTGGGAAAAACAGGGAGACAACAAATATTCTATACAAAATCTCCCCATTTAATAATACTATCACATATTACCTCAGTCATTTTAGTTTGGAGCTAAATGTATTCACACTGACCATGTCGTGGGAGTAGGGGATCCCCAGGTAGTGGTCAAACCCCTGCCTGGTTGGAAGAAACATCCCATTGGCACCAACTCCTAAGTGCCACTTCCCTATGGCTGCAGTAGCATAGCCCACAGGTTTCAGCACTTCAGCAATGGTGGTCTCATTCAGAGGAAGACCCCCTCTAGAACCTGGGTAAAACACTCCTGGGTAGACACCTGAGCGGGTCTGATAACGCCCTGTCAACAACGATGCCCTGAAAATACATCAAAACAGATAGGGACTATTATTTAAAGACGACATGCTCATTGTCAAATTCATACTTGTATTTTGACTTTATTTTGATTGAAACAGTTCTTAAAAATAACGTGTCTTAACAAAATAATGCTGAATCTTAATTAAAGAATATGATAGAAGGTAAAATAAAATAGGTGTGTCTTATTTCTCCTGTGTAGTAATAATATCCGTGTATTTGGAGTAACTGGGTAACATAACGCGGATACAAGCGGCCGAGATGGGTTTTCTCCGCAGGGTGGCTGGCGTCTCCCTTAGGGATAAGGTGAGAAGTTCAGTCATCCGGGAGGGACTCGGAGTTGAACCGCTCCTCCTTTGCGTCGAAAGGAGCCAGTTGAGGTGGTTCGGGCACCTAGTAAGGATGCCACCTGGGCGCCTCCCGAGGGAGGGGTTCCAGGCACGTCCAGCTGGGAAGAGACCAAGGGGTAGACCTAGGACCAGGTGGAGGGATTATATATCTTCGCTGGCCTGGGAGCGCCTTGGGATCCCCAAGTCAGAGCCATAGCCGCGGGAAGTAGGGGTGCTGGGGGTGCTGCAGCACCCCCTGTTGGCGAGTGGTGTACATTTGAAAAACTGAGTGACCACCTAAATAAAAATGATTAAACTACATAAAATAGTTATGATTTTACTTAAAATAAAATTAGCTGTATACAGTAGCATATAATAGTCATAGTATATATCAGGTGGCTTGAATTTATTTTCCAAATAAGTAAAATCCGAGTCATCTAGGTCGTAGATCTTGGGAGAGTGACGTAATTGACGCGACACACACACTGCAGAGTGACAACTTTCTAGAATGGTGCAAAAAAGGATTTTGGATTTTTTTCTCCAACAAACAACCCAATAAAAAGAGTGAACCACCAGCTACTCCTCAGCCCACCACCTCTACAACTAAAGTAATATATATATATATATAAATGATCCATTATCTCATTACATTTGCGCATATTTTAACACATTTCAGGAACCGAAATCTGCACTTTGGATAAAGCCAGGTTCAAAATTATCGTTTTATTTTGTAGTCATATTAGCATCTAAGGCTTTCACCGAAGGGATTTTGGATATCTCTCTTTATCACTCCATAAATCAGAAAATATTGTCAACAGCCCTAAAATATCAATTTTCGCCATGTTTCTAGGTATAAAATCTTATATAATTCAGGCTATGAATGATATATGAACAAACCCTTCTGTAAAAGCCTTCATAATATTGATAGGAATATAACTGGAAGGTTTGGTGTATGTAAGTGCAACTGAAGTGGAAATTTCGGACTCAGAGTAGGAGAAAAAACTCATTTTGAGAAAACGAACTTTAAAGATTGCAGTGAGGCGCTAGCTAAACCTGTTCTTTGGATGATAGCTTGCGCCTCGACGCACTCCGTGAAGGTATTTCATGTTCGGGGTCATTTGTGTTTTGTATAACCTTGCTTCGTGCAAGTGACAATTGTTGTTGTCTTCTATGTGAACGGTTTTTTCGCCGTTCTTTTGCCATTTTGAGATTTACATTTCTAGCGGAAAGCTAACCAGGAAGTGTTTTAGCACACCACGTGATGCATCTGAACGAATCACGTTGTCAGAAATTGACACCAGCCAATGAGATTTCGTTTCTTGGTTTAAGACCCTTTTGTCACGATTGGTTGCTGATACAAAGGAAATGACCATATTTGGATCCGATGACTATGAAATCATTGTGCAGGAGAGACGGAGCTTTTCCAACGATGACATTGTGCAAACAGCGATCGCGATACTTTATGTTACGTTAGAATGCTAACTTTTGGTGAATTTAGGAGAAATATACAGATGCAAATAGACAAACTATAGTAAAATGAACACTTAAATGTGTATTTTGTACGTTTTCCTTCCAAAAGCCTGAAAGAAAACATGTTATGGAATCAAAATAGCACAACATCTCAAAATTGACCAGTGCATGAAAAACGATGTTTTTGCCTGCCGTGTCTCGCCTTATACAAACAGGATGGAGCCGTTTTTTTAAACGGCTCCATCCTCACTTTTGGCAGCACCCCCTGAGCAAAATGACTTCCCGCGGCTATGGTCAGAGCTGGTTGATGTGGCCAGGGAAAGGAACGTTTGGGGCTCTCTGCTGGAACTGCTACCTCCGCGACCCGACCACGGATAAGCGGGAGAAGATGGATGGATGGATAACATAACAAGAAAGCTATATAAAAAAACACCTTAACCCTCTTGTTGTCTTCGGGTCAAATCTGACCGATTTACTACTTTCATCAATCATACATCTTTTGTTTTAGATTCGATTGCATTAAGGCTTTATGATATCCTTCACAGTAGACATTTGAACATATACAATTGCTGATCACCACTTTCATTGAAGGGGGGGACGACGACGGACGAAGACAATAGGAGGGTTAAATGATCTTCAATACAAATATTTTTCTAAAATCTTATCATAATACAGATGTTATCAAAAAAATGTGACATCATTATCAGAATGTGCACGAATAGCCTCAACGGTAATTTGTTGACGGTCCCTAAATTAAACCCTGTGGTTTAGAGCAAGGCTTGGATAAGAGCCATCTGTCCTCTGTCTGTGAAAATGAGGAACAATACGCCACTAGATCCGGATTGAATGTTGGAAATCAAACCTACGGCGGTGGTTTATGACATACAATTAAGGGACAACAATATTAAAACGAGTGCACACTGCACATACATTAAAACGTATTTGTTTATGGGACATTCTCTCCCGCTTACAGACAATAACATTAAATCAGTCAGCGTCGGTCCTGCATCATTACAGACAGCGCAGACACCATATACTGTATATTTAAAGTTAGACACCTGGACGGTGTGCACACGGGGCTGGTGCAGTAGAAGTCAGTGAACCGGAGCCCTCCAGCTGCCATCCGGTCCAGGTTTGGAGTGAGAGAACTGGGATGTCCATAACAACCCAAGTCCCCGAAACCTAAATCATCTGCAAAAAGGAGGACGAAATTCGGCGGTGAAGCCGAAGATGTGCAAACAACAAAAGGGCTTAAGAAGAAGAAGAAGCCGATGCTATCCATTCTGAGTCCTCCTGCATCTGAAGACTTGCAGAACTTCCGCGTTAGGTCCCCTATCTGACCAAAACAAAACGTCACGTGTTCACTCGCGGAAACTGGCGCGTTGACGTCACGTGGGGCTAGGAAATGTAGTCCTATTTCGCAGCAGCCTAATGCATTGTTTTTTTTAAGTGAGGAAAAGATAGCTGTTGCCTGTTTATGAAGAACAATGTGGACTCAATCTCCCCTTCTCCATAAAAAGGTAGGTGTTTACAATGTTAAACATGATACTGGTTAAAGGCTCAGCTGTGTTTTGTTAGCAAAGACCCCTCACCAATTGTTTGTATTAATATGAAATACTTTTGAAGACTCTCTTGTCCTGTGACTGTGCTACTGTGACTTTGATACTGTAGCAGGATACATACACAGTGTTTTTGCCTCGTGTGTTGAATGTTTTGTTTACCTCTGAAGTTGTTAGTCTAATGGCCTGCTGCTGAGTTTCAGTCCTCTCTGGCAACTATGAGGGGCCGTACAGGCCATAATTCATACTGGTCCTCTCACGCACATACATTCTCCTTTTACATACATATATTTTCACTCTTACATACATACATTCTCCTTTTACATACATATATTTTATAATATGCATGTCTGAAGGGAATATATGTATGCAAGAGAAGAATGTATGTATGTGTGAAGACAATATATGTATGCAAGTGAAGAATGTATGTATGTGTGAAGACAATATATGTATGTGAGAGAAGAATGTATGTATGTGAGAGAGAAAGTATAGTGGAAACGGAAGGAGTATGGTTGAAACGGAAGGCAGGTCATTCTTGCGCTGTGATTGGCTCAGAAGGTCGAGCGGGGCGGGCTCATGTTCAGAACTTCTGATTCAAATCAACATAACATGATGGAGGGAGATGAATCGCGTAGATTGCAGCAAGCATTAGGGGTTTTAAGGAACATTTTGTCAACCCCTGAAACTGTCACATCCCTGGCCAGGTGTCCTTGCGGGTGCGTTCGCTTTACTTATCAGAGCGTGCCGTAAGGGCGGTTACTCTTTGGTTTATAAACTCCCGCCTGGGACGGACTGATGCATTAGATTATGTGCTATATGGAGGGGACTTTGACAGAGTATTTCTCACAAAGTACACAGTAAAGTACTTCAATGTATTGTTAGTAGCAGTCAAACTAGTACCGAGTCCAACAGTGTCAGTTTTATGAAGAACTTGTGGTAAAATATATTTGTAAAAAGAAAATGAAGAGCTACTGATTTGAAAAAACGGCTCTCTGTATAGTTTAAATCTCCTAACAATGTTGTCCATTTATTCTTCTCCCCTCGAGTCCAACAGTGTCAGTTTTATTAAGAACTTTCAGTAAAAAATATTTGTAAAATATGAAGAGCAGCTGATTTGAAAAGACAAACGCGAGAGACGGCTGAGTGACCGCAGTGCAGAATCGCTGTATAGTTTAAATCTCCTAACAATGTTGTCCATTTTAGACACATGCTTATTATATTTACAGCCTTAATAACATTCATTTTCTGGGCTCAATGTGTGTCTTGGCCATTTTCGTTGTGATCGCTAAATTCCCCTTGTTTCCCCTTGTTTATAATTATGTTCAACGTTCCAAGCAAACGAGTGCTTTTGTTTTGAAATCACTTCCGCGAGTATCGCGCCCCCCCCCCCACCCCCCCCCCCCGCTACAATGACCATTAGACCATTTAGTAAGGTAAAAAGCAAAAACGCCTCGCAGACACTCTTCCGTTTACTTGTTTAATAAAGAAAAACAAGTGGTCCGTAGATACACGGAGTCATCTAACCCTAACCCTCTCCCTCCATCATGTTGATTTGAATCAGAAGTTCTGAACTAGAGCCCGCCCCGCTCGACCTTCTGAGCCAATCACAGTGCAATAATGACCTGCCTTCCGTTTCAACCATACTCCTTCCGTTTCCACTATACTTTCTCTCACACATACATACATTCTTCTCTCACATACATATATTGTCTTCACACATACATACATTCTTCACTTGCATACATATATTGTCTTCACACATACATACATTCTTCTCTTGCATACATATATTCCCTTCAGACATGCATATTATAAAATATATGTATGTAAAAGGAGAATGTATGTATGTAAGAGTGAAAATATATGTATGTAAAAGGAGAATGTATGTATGTAAGAGTGAAAATGTATGTATGTAAAAGGAGAATGTATGTATGTAAGAGTGAAAATATATGTATGTAAAAGGAGAATGTATGTATGTAAGAGTGAAAATATATGTGCGTGAGAGGACCAGTATGAATTACGGCCTGTACGGCCCCTCATAGGCAACCTTAGTTCTCATTCATAACACTCCGTTCGATGTCTCACTATGGGATGCGCCTCATCGCGGAGCAAACAGAAGCATCAATCTCATTACGCCAATCCTGATTGGCTGGTGATCTTGACGTCAGCGTCAGGGAATCACCCCCTATAAGTATATATTTACAGTCTATGTGTGAAACCCGTGCCTATTGCCAAGCACTGATGTTATATCTTTATATTTAAGGCCAAGCTCAAAGTAAAATCGATGAACCACTCCATTGTTGTGGTTTCTCTGTGTTGCCGTAGCAGCCGAACTGACCAGGAAGTACTAAATGAAAAGTATTGCGAGATCTCGCAAAGGTTTTGCGATATCTCGCAAAACATTTTTTTTTTTTTTTCTGTTCAAATTATTTATTTTTTTCTTCTCCATGTCCCCTAGGGGGCTCCGTACTCCGTAGACACCCCTGCACTAGATACTAGGAAAATATTTTTGATGAGAAACAACAGAGGTCTACCCTATTTGTTTATTAACATTGTCATATACAGTAGACTGTAGCTTGAACATGTATAAATGAGGGCTGTCAAGTTAACGCGTTAATAACGCGTTAACGCAAAAAAAAATTAACGCCACTAATTATTTTAACGCGATTAACGCATGTGTATTTTTTTTCCTCGACCGCCCCGTAGTTCTCATTCATAACACTCCGTTCGATGTCTCTCTATGGGATGCGCCTCATCGCGGAGCAAACAGAAGCATCAATCTCATTACGCCAATCCTGATTGGCTGGTGATCTTGACGTCAACGTCAGGGAATTCACCCCCTATAAGTAGCTTGCGCCACGACGCATGCACCATTCAAACACCTCTTCTCGCTTCAGAGCACATCTCTATAGTAGCCGGACAAGCTTAACGGTCCACAGACTGAACCCAAATATAACCATTTTCGGTCGACGGGCGCTCGCCGGCTACTCCTTCTGCTTCGCAAGAAGACGGTAATACTAACGCCAGTTAGTATTAAAATCGACCTCGCCGTTCTTTCCCCGGAAAGTAAGGTAAGGTTTTGATTTTTCTCAAGCTAGCTACGCACCCGTTGCTAGCTAGCTTCCCCTTACTACCGACACCACGGTAGCGAGGACGCTTTTCTTTTTCTCTCTCACGGAGGAGAAAAGGATTAGAAGTATATTGACACACCAGTCAATATTCTTTGAGAACAAAGGACCCACACCGTCCCCTTTTTCTCCGGATTAAGGACGGGTTGGTAACACTTTTTCTCTCAACGACGTACCTGTTACGAGCGGGTCCTCTCCACGCCACGAGGTGAACAAGATGGACGCCTCTCCCCCTCACACCAGAGGAGTCAGGGACTCGAAGGCTCGGTCATGCGGCTGCGGGTTGAAGATAGCAGGCAAAGACTCACACCAGGTCTGCCCGTCCTGCCTCGGGCTGAAACACGCCCAGGAGGCTATCGACAACCCCGGCTCGTGCGGGCATAGCGCCCTTTTCACCCGAAAGAGCCTCCACCGACGGCTAGCACACCAAGCTAGCTTGTTGGAACAGGACTCCCTCATGTCCACTGATTCGCCGTTTGGCAATCAAGGCAGAGACTGAGCCCCTCACTATGTCGGTATTGGGCTCACTAACAGCGGCAGCTGTGGAACCGGGATCCCACACCGTGTCAGGCCGGGACCCGGTGGCGGCAAGAGACGCGGGAACGGAGCCCCACGCCTCACCAGGCGGGAGCTCCCGGCGAGACCTCACCATGGTCTCACCCGCGGGGAATGTCCTGGAATTAGACTACATGGGGGACAAAGAGGACACCTCTGAGTCCCTCCTGTCTGATTCGGATGAGCAAGAAGAATATATCTTCATGTCATCGGCTCAAACGGCAAAGCCGGGAGCGATGGCTGCTCTCCCGGGCGATAGCACACCAGCTTCGCCCTGTCTGAGCAGGGACCTGCAGGCCGCGTGTCAGCGCGCTGCGTCCAGGCTAGACATCCCGTGGCCCGAAAGGGCCAAGGAGACCGCCAGGTCCCGTTACGAGGGGAAACATTCTCCCCAAGCAACGAGGACAAGGAGGCAACTCTTCCCGGAGATGTTGGATGAGGTGTCGGTCTCGTGGAGGGACCGACCCTTTACCAACAAGGCCCCAATCCAGGGTGCCTCCTCCCTAGACTGCGACGGTATGGAGAGGCTCGGCCTGCTCCGCATACCGCCGATGGAACTGCTGGTGGCAACCCACCTCCTACCGAGGATGGGCCCGTCACCAAGCAGGAACCCAACGCTGCCAGCGAAGGTGGACTGTTTCCAGTCAACCATGACGGAACGGTCCTACAGAGCCGCAGCGTTGTCCGCCAGGGCTCGGAACGTTTCCTCACTGCTAACCGCATACCAAGCGGAGCTCTGTGAGGATATGTCGAGTAATCCTGGACCGGCCGTTCTGGACGAGTTGGGCCGCGGTCACAGACATTTGTCTCCGTGTCCAACGCTGCGCCGTCCAGGCCACGGGCAAAACAATGGGGATCATGGTGGTGCAGGAAAGAGCTAGATGGCTCAACCTCACCAATCTCCCAGACCGGGAAAAGGAGGATGTGCTTGACATGCCCATCGTTCCCGAGGGGATTTTCGGCTCCGCTCTTGCCTCCATGCAAAGCAGATGCGAGTCGAAAAAAGAAGGAGGACGAGGCCCTCCACCTCTGCCTCCCTCGAAGGGCCCAGCCGCTGCCTTCGCAGCGGCAGCCCTTCGTCCAAGCTGCGAACCCTGCTCGGTTAAAAATACTGAAAGCGCAGAGGTCGCAGTCCGCCCCAAGTCCCCAGCCCAGGCAGGGACGAGGGCGAGCTGGCCTAGAAAATCTCCGGTTCCGGCTGCAGCCCAGGCGCAGCCAACCCAGAATTTCGGCCAGCAGTCGAGGAAGAAGAAGCGAGCGGGCGCGACAGCCCCTCCT